TGACTTCAAAGAAGAGTCACAACCTGCTTACTGTCAGACTGTGCAAATGTGATGTGAAGCCCCCTGGGTAAAGCAAATTATTTTCGGGTCTAAGTTGCAATTTTTGCTAAGAGTACTTTTAAAATGTGCATGAAGTGGTAGGGCTGAACTCCAAGGATTCTTACCTTTAAGGTCCAGGGACAACCAAGTAAATACAAGGTCTCTACTTCTCCTTGGTATGTCATTTATTTGCTAATCTCCTGTTGTCACACTAGCGTACCTACAATTCTGTTTGTTGTAGAAGATAAAACTACAGTCTGCTCTGTGTGCTAGTTGTTCTTTTTTTTCTTTTTTTTTTTTTTTTTTTTTTTTTTTTTTTTTTTTTTTTTTTTTTTTGGCTGCTGTTGCTGAAACATTGAAATGTCCTTGTTGGACCAGAATTCTGCATTTCAGCTTACCATAATTATAAAACACATGGCATTTGTGTTCAAACCAGGCCTGATTTTCTCCCAGGGAGCAATTTCACTTTACAAAATCAGTTTATAATTAACTAAAGCTTGCCACCGGAAATTACTTTGTTTTCTACATAGTTCCCACTTTAAATGAATCTGACTGTGGAAGAGGAAGTCCAGATTTAAAAACTATAGGTTGGTTATGGTGTTTGGAGGAAGAGATAGGCTACTGCAAGAGAAAGTCTAAGATCCTGTGTGCAGATCTCCACTCTGCATTTGCAGAGTGCCACCCTTTGTGCAGAAGAAGTCATTGGTCATTTGATTTTTATTTATCTTGGTTTCTAAAGTTTTCAATCATCCTTTTCTCACCAGACAACAGCCGAGCAGAGACAAGGCAATCGTGCTGGATCAGGAGAGTTTCTAAAGTGGTTTTCTGCAGTCTTTGTCACTGTTACTTGATGCAACAAACATTTCCTCATGTTGTGACAAAAACCTGTGCTAATGATAACAAACTGTAGCTCTCCTTGCTGCTGCGGATGACTCAGAGGTTAATTCCAGCTGTTTACATAATGGGCACATCCAGAGAATGCTTTCAGCAGCAGGGCATTTTGTAACTGGCATCTCACTGTTAAATTTGTCTCTCTAACCTACGTCTGACTGACTTTTGTCAGGGGTACCACACGTCAGTAAATACAGCTCTATAGACAGGCACGCAGTCAAGACGGACAGGATAAAAGTCTTCCTGTCCTGTTCTGTTGAAAGATAATGCAATGGGGTATCATGGTTGGTCAAAGAAACAAAATAAAAAGATATTTTTCTTTTTATTTTTTTCAAAGAGGGAGGAATTAAAAAACAAGACAGAGGGAAATGTTCTATTTCACTTCCCCTGAGCAAACATGTAATTTCCATGATTTCTTTTTAATGACTCTCTTCTGAAGCTAGTAGGTACTGATTTATGAAAAGCTGTAAAAGATCAGGTGGAACCCTGCAGGACGTCGTTTACAGCTGCACGGATTGCAACCCATCTAATTTGTCTGGTAAAGTGTGAGCTCATGGCGCACATCACCCAGGCCATAAATTTCATGTTCAGACCTTCTGTCTAGGGGCTGGGTCAGGGGGGAAAAAAACGTCAATGCATGCAGATGCTCTGAAAGCCCAGCTTTCCCTTGGTGCATGCGAGGAGACATCACAGGCTCTTTGCTGTGAGACAAATTCCAGTTCATTGATAAACTATCCAGATGTCCTCTCTGAGGAGGAAAGTAACTAATTTTGGTTTGGAATCCTACAAGGAGAAAAATGATACTTTACAGTGCTGGTTATTCTGAGGTCACTTACATTAAAATTAGGTCATATTTTTTGTCCTGATGATACTTTGATCCAAGTAATAAACATAAAAGCTCTTGCAGGCCACTCTAATTCCTAATCCTGGAGAACTGTTCTATCTCAGCTTGTTTATGCTTTTTTTCTTTTTTTTTTTCATTAGTGATTCTTGAGTCAGTCCTTGTTTTAATAGATTGAAGTTGAAAAGATGTACTAGGCTGGAAAAAAATCTCCGTGTTTCATCATTAGGTACACTTCATAAATACTCTTAATAAATGTCTTGGGATACCAGACACTATACCCAGAAAACTATAAATAAAAAATATTGGCTCTTTGTGGGACAAACAGTAGTTGAGGAGATTCAGGCTGTACAGCTACTGGATAAAAATATCTTGGGCTTGATTTTCCCACCTGGGCCTTAAGCTGCAGTCTGTTTCAACCAGAGTAGGCTTCTGGTGTCTTCTGTCACCATGTCTCTTCCCAGTGGGAATGAGGTCTGCATCTGAAGTCAGTGGCACCTCCAGAGTCCCTTGCAGAGGCAGCAGAGCATGTCCTGACTGGGATCCAGACAAAAGAAAGCGAACAATAGTGCTTGAGCAGCTGCATCCCTGCCCTGAGACCTGTTGAATACTGGTGCTCAATCTGCGGAAGTGAATGACAAGTTGTGATTTGCAAGTTAAGATTTTCAAGCTTCTGATAAGCTCTTCAGGTGTGTCCTCTCATCCCAGAATGGAAGAAAATATTAAAATCATTTCCTGGTCTTGAAAGAATTCAGCTGATTGATAAGGATTGGCGTAATGTCAAGAATAAAGGTGCTGTTTTATATGTATCCAATTTCAATAACTGCTGTATTGCAAAGCTGCACTGTTTTTTTCTTGTCTGAGAGAGGAGTCAGGCACTAGAATGGGCTATCCCAGGAGGTGGTGGAGTCACTGTCCCTGGAGATGTTCAAGAAATGTTAGATGTTGTACTGAGAGACATGGTTTAGTAGGAAATATTGGTGACAGGTGGGTGGTTGAGCTGGATGATCTTGGAGGTCTTTTCAAACTTTGGTGTTTCTACAGTTCCATAATTCATCCAAGGTGAAAGGTAAAAGTCTAGGTGTTACTGATGTGGTATTTCTTGATCCAAACGCACGGCAGATCGACTGCACGAGTAGGTTATTCCAGAGCTACTGATCTTGGTGGAACTTAGTAAGAACATGGTTTAGGATTGAAAAGTTCTGTTTGGATTATCTAGGCTTTGTAAGGGAGTTTAAATTTATTGGTGTTCGAACATTTGGTTCTCTCTAGGGCCCTTTACAAACTCTGCCTTTCTTCCAGTGCTGAAAGATGGCTTTGGTGGTGAGTGAAGAGGGTATTTTGAAGTCCTGATCAGTTCTCTAGTAACAGTAACTGTAACCTACACATTACACTGTGCCATTACAATCTTCAACTGATCATGTTAGCCTAATCACCTCTCATTTTTCCAGTGACAGAAGTAATTTCAGATGGATTTAGCTGTTGTTGTCAAATTATATTTCAGATGATGTTCATTGAAATCTCTAGGAAAACAAACAAACAGACATACAAGCAAAAACAATAACAACTAGGGAACCAATAGGCTGTAAAGTTGCAAAGAGAACTGCTTTAGATGACCTCTAAGTAAGCCTCCTATGCCCCTGAATATCACCATCCTGAAATCACAGCCAAACACATGCTTAGGTTTAGGCCTGAGGCAGACACCCATAAAGTACTTATCTTAAAATGATATGCATGCTAAAAGGATGTATGGTATGGGCATATACTTTTAACTGGAGGAAAAACTGTAGAAATACAGTTGATTAATAACGTCTGACTATTTGAGTAAGCCACTATTGCCCTAATTAGCACTGGGAGAGAAAGGCAATTGGAGTTAGTGAGGTATCTTGTAGAAATTGTATTTCAGGAGCTTCCTACATGACCAGGAAGAGAGCAGGTCAGTGAACATTGACTGATTGCTGAGGACAAGAGCTGGGTGTGTCATGCCAGCTGCCTTCCTGGAAGGCCTTTTTCAGAGCAGACAAATCCTCTGCTTGGAAATGCATTTGTTTATCTGTGGGCTGCAACAAGTGGTTCAGAAAGCTAGCTGATTTTAAACCTTGATGCCTTCAAAGAAGTAGTATATTCTCAAAACTGTGAAAACAGGATTCCCCTTACCAGACAGAAAAGAAAAAAAATTCTAGATCAATTTAAGAGCAACTCTTGCACCATATGCAATATCCAACTTTCAGATTCACCTACCTTAATTCTTCCTTGTTGAAAAAATTATATATTCATATACAATTCATATTCATACATATTATAATTATGTTCATATATATTCATCTTTATTTTATTTTCAAAAGGATGATTTCATCTCGGTAGCTTCTAGGTAGCATGATACTTACGGAAAATGGCTTAAGTGGGCAAGGGAACATGGAGATGAGTTTTGTGTTTGATTCCTTGATTTGATTTTGTTTCAGACTGATTTTTTAGTTGTTTTCCAAGTAATGAATGTGGAAGCAAATCAGTTCAGTTCAGCATCCTTCATAAGCACCAACCTTAATTCAAAGGCAGGAGATGATTCAATTCACACTTTCAGATTATTTATATGATATTCTTATGCAAGTTTCAGCTTTAAGATGAGCACGATCTCAAATTGCAAACTGCGGAATACAAGTCTCATATGGTTGCATTTGTCTCGCAATTCACTTACATCTGATTTTTAGATTTGATGACATTTGTATGCCACTAGTGTCTTATTTTATATGCCTCTACCTTTTTAGCACCACCTAGGAGTTTTTGGAGGGCTGCAATACTATGAACATTTGATATGTGTAACTTCTGCCAAAATGCTGAACTTGATGTTTAGTGTGCATTGTTGTAGTGACCAGTATATTTTTTGTGACTAGGTTAATCACATAAATATAATCTAAATTAGGCTTGTCTTTGCTAATACTTTAACACATTAAACTGTAGTATAATATTGTACTCTATGAATTTGTGATGTATCAGTGATGTGAAATCAGGGTTTGAGAAGCTGGAGCTCTTAAGCAAGGTGACTGCATAGTGTTTGTCAAAGCTGCCAGTGTGAATACATTTGGCCTCAGTGGCAGATAAATTCTACAGATGAGCAAAAACCTGCATGTAGCCTGGGAGCTCCTAGTGATGCGAATGATAACTTTAGACACAAAATGAATCGATATTCATGTCTGATCCACAACTTTCACCATATTCTTCTTCATTTCAGGCCATCAAACCTTCTCCTGGACCAAAGTAACATTGACATTTCAGCTTTCCGCACAACAGGTGATTGGCTCAATGGTTTTCGAACAGGACAGTGCAAAGGCATTTTCACTGGTGTGGAGTACAGTTCCTGTGATACAATAGCCAAGATTTCCACTGAGTAAGTTGAAATAATCCCAGCCCTTCATCACTGATTAGAGCTGGGGTTTCATGTTTTAGCATAAGGGTAGCATTTTAATATTCAGCTTCCTTTTTTTTTTTTTTTTTTTTTTTTTTTTTTAAGCTAAAATAATATAATGTTTAATAGAAAAAAAAAAGTAAATTACTGTAGTAGTTGTAATACACATGCAGGAAACCTGAAACCTTTTTCATAACTCTTTCTCACTAATGTAGAGGAAATTTCAGTTTCTTCAGGTATGGCAGCACTGTGCATAGTTTGGTATAAGAGCATTTGTTACCTTCAGTCACACTTTAGTAGTTGTTTTGTACTTGTTTATAATCTGCCTTTATCTGTGATTTCCCCACAGCTGTCAGGTGTGCCAATCTTTTCTTTTTTTGCCCATCCCATATTCCATCAACCCAGGTGCCAAAGAGCAAGTACTATGTAACTGCTTTTCTCCAATATACTAATGATGGTTGCGTGGGTTGATAGTGACAGGACAAGGGGTAATGATTTTAAACTAAGAGAGGGGAGGTTTAGGTTAGATATTAGGAGGAAATTCTTCATACAGAGGGTGGTGATGCACTGGAACAGGTTGCCCAAGGAGGTTGTGGATGCCCCATCCCTGGAGGCATTCAAGGCCAGGCTGGATGTGGCTCTGGGCAGCCTGGTCTGGTGGTTGGTGACCCTGCACATAGCAGGGGGCTTGAAACTAGATGAACTTTAAGGTCCTTTTCAACCAGCCGTTCTATGATTCTATGATTTTATAAATAATTATTTAGAGGGCAAACTCCCTCCTGCCTTCCATTTTGACAATTAATCATTATAAGCTTGAAAGTTTAAAACTTGAAAGTTCATACATTAAAATGTAGTGTGACAAGGAAGAATATGGTGGTGTTCTCTTTGCACCTGAAAAGGATCAAGTACAGTTATGAACTTACTGTACAGGAAAATCTTGACTCCCCATTGGGCTCACTGGATACAAGACCAGTTATGAAGAAGTAGCCAACAGCTGCAGGGCTGATAATTAAACACATCAGTGCCGTTAATTAGTGTATTATTGCAACTATAAAAAGGCTGATAATGGGTTTTTATGACAATTACCCTTTGGGGACAGTGCAGAAATCCTCCAGGAATGCCCAGTTTCCTGTGAACAACTGTTTAATGAGCCCTTGGCAAGCATTAAACTGTTTCTATATTGCACAATGAACAAAGAGAATGAGCTGCCTGAAGAAATAAGGAGTGATAACTGCAGTAGACACAGGAAGCTTAGACATGGTGCTTATTCTGAGGATGAGACAACTGTTCAGAAGGCTTGGCACATAAAGTCAACATGTCCACTGGTCAGGAAGAATAAACATGTTGATAGGGGGATGGTAGAGAGACTTAAGATTGCAGCTGGCCCAGAAGTAGCCCCCTGTGTGTACACCACTGGCAAACACTACTTCATTGTCCATTCTTGCAGGTATGCAAACACAGCAGGGCTAAATGAGTTTTTACATTTTTTTGCAGCCTCCTGCTGTCTTCAAACAATGGCTCTCAGTATTCTTCATACCAGGATTTGTGTTTCAACAGCATTTCTGTACCTGGAGGCTCATCCAGTGCATCAGTATAAGATGAGCAAGTTGATTGGTCTCTGCTCACGTCAGCTCTAGGAAGCAGAGAGGCAGGATGCTGACTCACCTAGTTTATATTCTCTTTTTTCCAGTGACATGAAGAAAATTGGTGTTACAGTTGTGGGGCCTCAAAAGAAGATCGTTAGCAGTATCAAAACTCTAGAAACTCATACGAAGAACAGCCCTGTTCCTGTGTAAGGTACCAAAATGATGTTGCTGAGGACAGAAAAAAGAAAAGTCGCATCAAAGAGCAAAAGCGATGGCTGATAAATGGCACAGTTTAAAGGAGTTCTTTGCAGCAGTTTTGGAAACATAACGATTGAAATTTCAAACCCACTGAGACACTCAAATACTGAGTATAAATGCCTTAAAAATAGGAGCGAACTTGTTTTGTATCTGTTAATCCTGAAGGGTGGGTGCTCTTAACTGACTGTTAATGCAGATAGTAAATTTCAAAAGAAAAAAAAAAAGTAAAAAATCCTTCCGAGTAAAAAACAGTGATACTAAAACCTAGAGCCATTTGAATATTAAGTGACTGAATAACATGAAAAACCCAAGGACATAAAAGCTGTGTATTTGATCTATACAGCAAACAAGAAGAAAGAAAGACTTACAGTATTTTTATACAGAAGAGATCTGTAACAGCTATTTTATTTCTTTAAAAGCAAGGAAAATAGAGGACTATACCTCGCAATCTGTCTGGCCATATTTACTATAATGTCATTGTAACATGCTATTTGAACTTCAGAAAGGAATACAGAAATAAAATTTGTAGTGACTGGGTTAGTTGGCAAAAGATTTTCACCATTGTGTTAGTTTCCCTAATTGTGTTCATTTAAATAGAAAAAAAAAAAAGTCTTAATTCTTAAAAGACTTATTTATTTCCTTTCTTGTTTTTTGCTTTTTTTTTTTTTTTTTTTTTTTTTTACCATTATTGTTTATATTTATGCTTAAATACCTTAACCTGGCTGCATTATTGACAAGTGCCAAATATTATCAATACTTCATTGGTTTAACCTGAGAAATTGTGAGGGTTAATTACTTGATTATTTTATACTCACAACGTCATATACAAAGTACAGAAGGAAAGAAATGTCTTTTTTGTAGCTCCAACCCTAGGCAAAGCATTGGGACTTGCTGAGATTTCTTTCCTTTGCAAGTGAGTGATATTTAAATCTGGGCTTGAATTCTGTTGGAATTGCATGCCCATTGATCTCCAAATCAGTACCTGGCCTGGCCAACCATATGTATTTCCTTTGCTTTCCAAAGGCCTGATTTCATGTCACAAAGGTCTGCTGTCTTCAGATGCTGTTCAGGTGGGAGAATTACCTAGGAATTGTAAGAGTGTATCCTGCATGATCTGAGAGTGCTTTTTTAGCTTGTTGAGGAATTATGCATTACTGTCTTCCATCTCATGGGCTCTGCTCCCAGTGCTGGTAACTGGGAGTTGTACTACCATGTCGGCAGCCAAGGATAGTTGAAGAAGATGATTTAAGCTTCTGCAGTGGGAGTCTGGCTTGTCATTTTGCCTAATTCTGATCTAGAAGACCTCTGTCCAGATGCTGTGATTCTTCAGGAGCCTTGCTTTTTGATTCAGGTTCCATAGGCACCTGTGTTTGCCACTCCACATGGCTGCAGCCACCTCAGTCTTGACAGGACTGATTAGTTGTGTGGCAATGTGAGAGTCCAGAAAACACAGCACTCGCAAGGGTGTGCTTTGGTAGATGTCCCAGTGTAACCAAAACCACCAGGCTCCATCCACTTAGGAATGGTTCTTCCTTCTGCAAGGTGAATTGGGGTAAAGCCAGCTGTACTGCTTTAGAAGCAGTGCTTGGTCCCTTGAAAGAAATCAGAAGGGAGCCTATCTTTAGGAGACCATTCACATTTTTCAGTAGAAAAAGGAACGTAAAGGAGGGGATTTGAGTCTTCCTACATCTTCAGCATCTTCCCATAAGTGAGCTCTTAAGCTCCTGATTATGTTAATCCTAGTCCTGAACAGACACAGCTCTTTCCTCTGAAAATGAGGGGTTTAAGTCGCTGTGTGAGGCATTTCTAGTGCTGCATACAGGCCAGTTTCTTCGTGCCCCCTTGGATTTCCAACTTGCCGTTTTTAAACTTAAACCTGATTCTAATGAGTAACAGTGAGTCATTGGCAGTCCAAGACTGTAAGAGGCGGTTGGGTGCATAGCATGCCACTTTCTGCTGTGCAGTCAAGTTTGTTGTCCTTTCTTTGCAGTGTTGGTCTGGTTTTTGAAGCTCCTTGTAGCACAGGGCGCATAAATATGAGGGGAAATAATCAGTTCTTGGGATTTGTGTGGCTGAATCAGTTTCCAAATTGTTTTTATTGGGTCCAAGACATTTCAGATGCAGAGCAACAGTGTTTATTACACATTAATAAATAGAAGGAGAGTTAGGGGTAATGAACAGGCTGTGAAGGATTGCATTTGAAATGCACTCACAGGATGAGAATGTCTTCTGAAAGAAAAAATTAAGGAGTTTTAAAGTAAGTCAAAATAAAAATTGAAAAGTGGAAGAAAAAATGAAAAGGAAGTACTTATGATGCAAAAACACTTCTTATGTACTACAATCTATTGTGAAATACAGCATGCTAAATACAAAAGCTATATTTTTAGTTGCTTAGTTCATCCAGAATCTTTCTTTTGTTCAGTTTGAGATTGCTCTGTCAGACACTGTTGGTGAATTTAAAAGTTCACCAAAATCCATTTGCAGACAATGTGTTTGTGGGGCAGCGTTTTACATGTTCCTCCTGATGTTTTTCTTCAGCTTCATTCTGGAGATTAGGGACGAGTGGGCTGAGGTGGGGGGAATAGATCTCAAAACGCTCCTGAAAACACAGAGCTGGTTCATAGAATTTTAGGTTACAAGCAAAAACTTTGCACCAACCACTCTCAATCTTCTCATAGTACCATGTCATGTTCCTTGCCCACTGTTTGAGCATGCTCAGCGTAAGAAATTAAATCTTACTGATGCTTGAGAAAAAAAAACTCAGTTTTGCTTTTCTTTGCTATGAGGAGTATAGTGTTCTAAACTACACTTAGATATTTTCTCCCTGTCAAATGTTGATTTGTACTGTAAGTGGCCTCTTTTGCAAGCATCCTATACTCCCTATCCCCGTGTACATATGTATACATAGCAGTGTACAATTCTTCATTGTGGAGTAGAGATACTAGAATTTGTGTGGCCATCTTCCTGTACAGGACTTGCATTCATTATTGACATCAAGCAAAATGCAACAGCTCATAAAATGTCGTACCATATTATTGGGTTTGTATCTTTAAATATAGTTTCCATTTTATTTATTTCTGTTAACATATCTAGTTTTGTGCTGTTACTTAGCGTTCAATAAGCAATGTATAGATGTGATTTGATTGGCAATATGTATTTACTTTAACTTGTATTTCAAAGCATTACTTACTCATTTAGTTTATATATTGTGCAATTGTAGATGGCCTCTTACTAATGTAAAATGATTTGTAGTGGAAACATTTATATTTTTATAATAAACATAATGAAAGTATTTTTTACATACTGGAATACTGAGGTGATTGCTTGGAAGACAAAGTAAATTTATTTGATTAGAAAAGTGTGATAAAATTGTAATTAAATATGGATAAATTCTGAGTGTTAAAGCATGGGTTCGGAGTGAAAGCTAGATATTGCCTATATTATCTGTTAAAAGAAACAAGTAGTGCAGGCTCTAAATAGACAGACAAGCATTTGTACTAAACTGTCTTACATCAGTCAAAGACTTTACTTTCTCCATGGATACAGGAAAACATTGTCTATTACAGCCTGCCTATGGGATACTGAAAAAGTTGTCATTTATTTTAGTTGTGTCAACTATTTCCAAACTTCTGCATTTTTTCTTCCCTTGCCAGTGGACCTCTTTTCATCTTATAACTATGTTGAATCCAGTATAAGATGTAATTTTCAACAAAATAAAAAGCCCACCACTTACAGTAGTTTAACCCCATGATCATTTCTTGCCTCTGAGTATCTGTGTTAGACAATATTTTGCTCCTGTTTTGTTGTGTCCCTACCAAGTTTCTCCATGATTCATTGAAATGCAATGTCTTTAAAAATGCCGACATACAATTCAGCTTTGCACCTCAGGAATTATTTTCCCAGAAAAACACGAATGGTAAAATGTTCACCAAAACCAGTTAAAACTACTTGAAGACTAAAGTTACAGGCCTTTCTGTACCATACATGATTTTGCATGTTTTTGTTTATTACTATGCTTGCCAGGACAAAACAAGGAACACTATATCTATCCTGGAGTATGTAAGTTTTGTCTTGGTATCTTCAGTAGAAGAGAAAATCACCAAAAGCAGCTACCCAAAATATACGGACAAAAATTTGACTTAACTTAAAGCAGCCATCTTTTCTTCTGAATGCCAGTATGCCTCATGCTATGCTGCAGTGGGTACATACACTGTCATTTTAAATGAGGGAATTTTGATGATAGACTTGAAGGTCAGGGATGCAGCTCTGTCTCATCTATGCTACGTGCAAACTGTTTGCATCTCAAATAGGTCTCACATCAGCAGTTGTTTTAGGTTGACGTGCATCTATCCCTTTAGCATGATCTGGTACACTGTGTTTGCATTATATCCCAAAGGGCACAGTGGATATTAATGCTTACATAAGAGTTGCATTTATTGTAAAATTGTATTTGTGACTGCAGCCAGTTCTGGAACAGTGGGATACATTCAACCGAATGGAGCAGAGCAAGAAAATGTGTTGCAGCCCACCACCATGTCACCGCTCAAATCTGGATGTGTAAATTGCTGATAATCAGTTCCATAAACATAGATACACTTTTTTTTTTTTTTTTTTTTTTTTAATGTCAAAGTGACTTTTTTCCACTTAGCATTCCTTCTTAAGGATGATGTCCAGATGTAGTTATCTAAACCAGTAAAAGCCTAAGCAGTGCCAAGTGAAATCAGACAATTACTTCTGCTGTCTTACATATACCGCTCCTGTTAATATAAATATCCACACTTCCCTTCATTTTCTGAGCCTCTGTAATTCCTCAGATCCTTTCCAAGCCACCACTGCCTGTTCAGCAATTCCCCATTTGTACATGTGGTCTCAGATCTTTTTTAGTCTTCAGTCCAATTCTTTGTGTAATTCTAAATGAATTTTAATCTCATAATGTAAAAATATTTCTCTTTGAAATAATTTTCTCAGCCTTATTTCATGTACATACTGTATAACTAGGCACATGCTTATCATACTGGTTACTAGTGCAAACTGTGAACAGCACGAAACACGAAGAACAGCCTTTTCTTGGCTTCTTTGTTAGACTTTTCAGATGGCCAGGAAAGTTCTGATAAATGATAAGTACTCAGTAAGTAAGATTTTTCAGCTCACTACGCATTCACATTACAGCGATTTCATAATAGCCCATATTTCCCCAGTTACCTCATAAGAATGTCATGTGAGACAGCACCAGAAGTCTTACTAAAGACAAGATAAATCACATCTACTAGTTTTTAGATTATCCTGTCACAGAAATAAATTAGGTTGGTTTGACATGATTTGTTTATTCTTGACAAATCTGAGTTGGTTTCTTAAGACCATGTAATCCTGCAGCTACGTAGAAATGTATTGTGTGATATCTTTCTGGATATCGAGGCTAGCATACCTAGTCTTTAATTGCCTGGCTCTTCTTCTCTTCCCTTTCTAAATGTCACCGTGGTCTTTGCTCCTCTGCAGTCAGGTGAAATCCCTTCTTCCCTCATGCAGTTCAACATGACTTCTCCAAGAGTACTGGCAGCAGTTACCTAGTTCTTCAAGTTCACTATAGTAAATCACAGATTTGAAAAATTTGAAA